ACGAGTTCTTCAACATGCTGATGAAGTGTCAGGTACGGGCACAGGGCTGGGGAGCTGTGGCACCCCTGCTCCAGCCCCTTCTCCCCGCCCTGTGCTAACGCTGAGCCCCTGTGTCCCTGCAGTCCTCCCGCATCGATGACCAGCGCTGTGCCCCCCCAGACTCCATCCCCCGGGGCCCCACCATGCCTGATGAAGACTTTTTCAGCCTCATCCAGCGTGTGCAGGCCAAGCGCATGGACGAGCAGCGTGTGGATTTGGCCTCAGCTCAGGAGGAGGCCGAGGAGGAGCAGCAGAGGCCTGGTTCCAGCTAAGAACTGGGCTTCGGGCTGGGGGGGTTGTTTCAGCTTTGTTTTGTTTTTCAAAAAGGAAGAACAGAGTAGGTGGTTTGAAGCCCGAGTGCTCCTGTCCTCCCAGTTTTGCACCTCCATCGTGCTCCTATGGGAGAGCCCAATGAATGGGGGACAGTTTTTAAATAAGGGAGTTTTTTAGGACACTCGGCCACTGTAACTCTGGGCACAGCACCTGGAAGACTTTAGCAGCCCCTTGCTGATCACCTAAAACCCCAGGAACTTGGAGGAACCCACAAGGGGTAGCTAACTCCATCCTTGATTTCTTTTATTTCCACAATACTTTTATTTAAACAGGGAAAGGGAAGAACACCTTTTCCATTTTGAAGTCGTCCTGTCTTCCCTGACACAAATGGTTCTGGATCCTTCTCTGGAACGTCTTGTTCAGCTTTGTTCCTTCTACAGGAGAAAAAGAGCCCAAGTCCTTTAAACCTTTTCCACCCCAGCTGCATCGTGGTCCCACACACCCGAGTGTATTTTAAGTTTGCTGAGGACTCTCTGGAGAGCCCTGGACATTCTCTGCTTCCAGCTGCAGCCCTGCAGGACCTCCTGAGCAGGGGAAAAGCCTCTCTGACTGTAAGCTTTAGTGGGATTTGTTACGTCTGGAGCCCTGTGCAGCCCCATGGCAGGGGCTGTTCCTGGGCAGAGGGAAGGAGGAAAGAAAGAGGTCTCTGCCCAAGTGTTCAGCCCACAGCAATCAGGGACAGCTCCTGGTGCCACTGAGCCGATGTGAGGGCACCCAAGACAGAACCTGTGTGTGACTGGGCCCTGCTTCAACAGCCAGCAAAGCTTTCATGGCTCACCCCTCCTTTTCTCTGTGTCCAACAGCAGCTCTGGCCAGTGGCCCTTCCCTGCTCTTGTTTCTCCCCAAACCAGCGCTGAGCTGCTCCCAGTGAGGCTCTCTGGTTCTGCCCACCTGTCTGCAGCCCCTGGAGTCTCAGGTGAGCCCCAGCCTGGGGGGCTGGCTGGGAACTCACTTTATTTTTCCTTTTTGGACCAGCTGGAAAAGCTGGAGGAGGGGAGCAGGGCCCTGACTTGAGGAGCTGCAGTATTTTCCCTGTGCTGCACCAGAGACTGTGCTGGACAGCAGCAGCTCCAGCGTTGTGCCGAAGCAGCGCCGCTCCTGCAGAGACCAAATCAGCACTTTGGATTGGAAATGCATTTGATGCAAACATTCCCAGCCAGCAGGGAGGTATTTTTAGACCAGTGATGCTGCTCATGGGGCATTTACCCTGCCTGCACTGACCATGTGGAGTGGTAGCTGCATTCACCTGCTACCTGGGAGCACTCACCTGCTGCTGGGCCTCCTTCCTGGGGCTGGCAGAGCTCTGGAGAGGGGAGAGGAGGAGCTGCCCATCCCTACCAGCCAGGCTGGCATTTGTAAAAGAAAAAAACATTGATGATGATGATGAGCTGACCAGCTGCAGGCTCAGGCCTGTGCAGCTCTCAGCCAGGTGGTGAACTGGAACCTGACCATTAAGCTTTCAGAGGTATTATTGAGGTATTATTTGCCATATACTTGAATGTATGAGCTTATTTATTTTTTACATGTGCATTTGCTAATGTCATTTTAATGGGGAATTTCCAACCCACAGGTACTTGTTTTTTTTTCTAAAAAATAATCTGCCAAATGGATTAATATATTAGAAATGAATACAGCTCAAGGGGAAGGGGTGGGGGGAATTGTGCTTAATAAATATTTGTGTCTAAGCTTCAGTGCAAATACTCATTTCCATTATTTCCTGGCTCAGAGCAGGGCTAATCCTGGCCCTTTGGAATAAGGGTGGGGGTGAATGGGGGGTCTGTGGTAACAGACACCAGCACATGTGCTAAGCAAAGTGTTGTGCACCCACCTCCACATCAGTTTACTCTGTGAGCACATGGGGCTCATGGCAGCACCACCATCCCAGTTCTGCCAACATGGCTGTGGAGGGAAGGCACAAAGCCCTGAGAATTCCCTGCCCAGAAGTTTCCAGGACGACAGGGCAGACAGAGCAGTCCTGCATGGCACAGAAAAGGCCACTGGAAAAGGCTGAGGAGAGGCTGAGCTGTTCCTTTCAGGCCCTGCCCGGTCTGGGTGCCGCCCCGGCGCCTGGCCCAAAGTTGGGCTGTTCCCCAGAGCCAGGGGACAGGGGCAGGGAGTGCTGGGCACAGCCCTGGAGTAGAAACAAAGCAGCAGCACCAGCTCATTCCAGCACAGCAGGCTGGAAGGCAGCCTGGGAGCAACAGTTTGGATCCTGGGCCCTGTGAGGATAAAGCCAAGTCACAGCTGGGCTTCCCGTGCCTGGCTCATGTGTGCTGGCCACTGCCAGCCCTGAGCAAAGATTAATAAAGAGCCACCAGCTTGTTCCCATCAGGTGTTCTCACACCTCAGGGTGCCTGGGCACAGCAGCTCTGAGTGTGACTGGGGCCAGAACTGTGCCCTCAGGTGATCCCTGGGGCAGAGTGATGGTGTCACCTCCTGTCTGTCCGTCCTGAGCAGCACAGGCTCGTTCTGAGCTCCTGCTGTGTGAATCCTCCTCTCTGCCACGCTGCCAGGCTCGTTCCGACATCGGGAAGAGCTCTCTGATGCTGACATCCGCTGGAGAGCCGCGGGACTGCCGGCCCCGAGCGCTGCTGCTGCTGCAGCTGTGCAGTGTGAGCTGCTGGAGCAGGGCACGTCCTCTTCATGAAGAACCCTAAAAATGCAGCAGAAACACGAGATCCTGCCCTCTGCTACCCAGCTGTACACAAGAACCAGAGGGACTCACAGGACAGGGCTGATGGAGAAAGGCACTGAGGAGAAAAGCTGCTTCTCCTCACTCCCTGCTTTGGCTACAGCAAGCCCATGTGCTTACCTGTGTCCCCTTTCCAGAGTAAACCCACTGCCCTATGACACAACATTTTTCAGAAAAAACATCTTCAAAAGGGAGCAAAAAATTCTGGTTTTTAGCTGCAACCTCTTAGCAGCAAATCTTTTTGTATTATGTGTAAATTCCCTCCCCTGATGTTAACCTGAATGTTCAGAGAAGCAGCAAGAACTGCCACCCACCATGCACAGAGGGCTTCTGTCTCTGTCCTACCCCAAAGAGCACCTGGTGACAGAGGACACTGGCACAAGGAAACACTAAAATCTAGGAGCAGCCAACACAGATTTCACTACATTTTTTACTAAAACATAGCAAAAATTTGCACCACCTTCCTGGGACCTAGTAACAGGTAAGAAAGGTAAGGAAAACAGTATTAAAAAGCCAGATTGTAAATGAGTTGTTTCCAAGGCAACACAGATCCTGTAACAGCTGCTCTGTTCCACCCCATCAAAGGCATCAGCACCATGGAAGCAGAATGCTGATTTTCAGATTAAAGGTAATAAAACAAACACTTTTCCAGCAGTGCTAATAGGTGCCAGCAGCCCAGCTCAGGGGGAGAACACAGCAGTGCTCTGAATGCAAATTCCTGTTTGTCAGTCCTGGGTCACTCCAGCAGCTGGCTGTGTCAGGGAGAGCTGCAGCTCACACAGCTGAGCACACACGAGCTGCCTGATGAAGTTCCTGCCCCTGTTTCATCACTCTGCACTGACACTCCCACAGGACATGACAACTTTCCTGGTGCTCTGACCCAACACTTAGAATGCAACACAAATAAAATTGTTATGAACACTCCAGATGAAGGATTTATGAATGCCTGCAATGCCCTCATGGAATCTGTGGCTGATGAAGCACCACAAGCAGCTGGGGATGCCTGGCTGAGAGAACTGGGCTTTCTCAGCCCAAGACACAAAGGTGAGAGAGGTTTTACTGCTTTCTGTGCCTCAATGATGAGGGGGATCTTGAATCACACAGAGGTTGTGATTCAAGATCCTGAATATCCTCCTCTGACAAGCAGACTGGACTGGAATCCTCCAGAAGGCTCTTCCAAACTGAATTATCTTAGATTGCAAGCTCAAACCCTTAAGAAAGCAGGTGGGAACTGTGCAGAGGGAACAAACCCTAACAAAGCACAGCATCATCATCTCAGTGCCTGATCCACCACTACCCCAGAGCTGCATGCTGACAAACTCCCACATCTGTCATTTATTTCTTTTTAAATTTCTAACTAATCCTAACCTACTGCAGCAGCACCAATAAGCCCCTCAATATCTGCCAAGACAACTTTCTGGGTCCTCTTCTTCTCTCCACCACCAGTAATTTTGCCTTCACACCCACACTCCCCCTCACCAACAAGGAGAGGTAAAACCCCCGTGCTGGAGCTTGAGTGGGATCAAAATACAAAACTTTCAACCCTGATATGAGTGACACAGAAACAAAACTCTGGAAAAGATCAAAAGAACAGATAAAAGCAGTGTTTGACTGCATTAAGAGCAGGTGGTCTGACCCTCCTGCAGGGTTATTTTGGCTTTAGAATTCTGGGACCCATCTCCTCAGGTGATATCAATTGCCCCCTCTCTTGATTTGCCACACCTGAGCAATCCTGAAACCTCCAGCTCCAGCTGCACCTCGCTAGGTCAAACACACACAGACAGAGCATTTCTGAGCAGGGAACAAAGCCAGGCAAGGGACACAGCTGGGGCACTGAAAATCACCTGAAATCAGCAAAACAAGTACCAGGAAAGACACCAACACACCTCTAAAGACATCAAAGGTGAAACTACACAAGGCAAAGACACACAACAGAGAAAACCCAACACCCGAGTTTATTTTAGAAACAGCTGAAATCAGGGAATGAAGGTGAAGAGCCCAAGCAGAATGTCCCAAATCCCACGTGGCAGGTCTGTCCAACAGGCCACGATCTCACATGTCACATCTGTCCCTCAGGCCACAGTCCCTCGTGTCAGGTGTGTCCCTTGCTGCCAGGATCTGGGGGGGTTTCCTCGGTGTCCCCCTGTGCCAGCTGCCCCTGGGGCTCTGCAGGGCTCTCCAGCAGCAGCAGCTCCAGCGCCTCCTCCCCAGCCACACGTCTCACCTGCTCCCCTCTGGCTGCCAGGATCTCCTCGATATTCCTGCACAGGGAGTTGAGAACCAGCAGTGACACCACGGCAAAGGCACACTGCACTCTGCCCTCAGCACTGACACCATGCAGGGAATCACATCACCGGGAAAACCACCCAAAATTAACCACAGAAAACCACCCAAACCTTCTGGGACTGCTCTCATCCACTAATGATTTAGCAATTACAGCTAAACAGAAGCTTTTAAAGTTATCTTGGGAATTTAGAAATCACTGGAATTCCACAGACCAATCTACACACTTGAAACATCCAAGGAAAGGCAGCAGTGAAGTGATAAAGCCTGAGGGGAACAGCAGATCACCCGCTGGCACCACTAAGGATCCCTGTGAAGTTTCTACTGCAGCTTCACACCAATTTATTTGGATCCTAGACAGCAACAGTCAAATTATAATGACTGAAAACAGAGTCTGTGTGTTTTAATGAACTGGATGAAACTTTTAGTATGAGCCATATTAGAAAAAAATCACAAAAATAAGGCATAATTTCAGGAAGCTGCAGGTGGGAGCAGGGTGAGAGGAGGATGCTGGTGGCACACTCACCTCTTTCCCTCCAGGTCAGAGAACCAGCCCAGGTTGTCGGCGATGATGTGATGGTTCCCACAGCCAGGACAGGTCACGATCACCACTCCTTGGTGGTAGGCAGCCTTAGAGATGGATTTGGTTGAACGGGTCTGGCACACCTGAAAAAAAAAAGTGGGTTTTACGAGCACGGTAACTGCAGCTCCTGGGACTTCTAAGACAAAAACACTTTTGACATTAAAAGAGTCTTCCCTCCCTCATCTCTAACTATCCCAAGTGGGCTCCATCATGTTAGGATGTCGTGAGTTCAGCCAGGGACACAAAGGCTGAGAGGTTTCACTGCTCTCTGGGGCTCCCTAATGAGGAGGATCCACAGAGGCTGTGGGCTCTCCACCCTCAGAGTCACTCACAAGACCCCGAACACAATGAGCATGAACTTGAAACCTCCAGAGGGCTCTTCCACTCTGAATTAGTCTTTGAAAGTTTAAAACTAAGCAAACAGCTACACCGTGAACCCCAGCGACGGTGC